AAACCGAGCACGGTCAGGTGCGAGCTTCGTGTTCGGGCTGAAACCGGTAACGGCCTTGTCTGCTTCTTGCTGCAGATGGAGCTGGAAGCGCTACGCTCCATCTACGAGGGAGATGTGTGCTTCAGGGAGCTGAGCCCGGTGTCCTTCCAGTACAGGGTAAGGCAAGGTGGAGGTCTGATCAGCGCAGGCTTCAATTTGAAGTTACTCTACTGGCTTGTAGTTGTTGTACCGGCTTTGTTCTTGTAAACCAAATGAGCATTCGATAGCAGCCGAGGCTAGATCCACAGGCCGTTGTTTCATGATCTTTGGTACAATGATGCTTGATAGCACAAAGCTTCATGTTCAGGAACCTGCTCCTAGTGCAGGTTTATTATCCCATAGCTGGGCATCCTCTGACACATCCGTGTACTGCGTAGCTAGAGCTGCCAAACTGGCTGAAGGAGCTAGCCTGCTGATTAACACACTGGCTGGTCAGAAATGTCACTTACAGACACGTTTATATGTAAAGCTCTGAACCTTTGTTATTGCTCTGTTAGAAGACTCTAGTCTCTTGTCCAGAAGTAGCTGACGTGCCTTGTCTACCTGTTAAAATGATGAACAAGATGTTTTGGGCATTTACACTGATATGGTCTGATTAGGAGACACATACAGGGAGTGCTGAGCTTGAGGCATTCAGTTAGATTCTGTCATGGAATTCTTGTCCGCTGTCTCAGGTTTATGGGCTGAGGCAGATCTTTGGATGGCCAGAAAGCTTTACTGATGAAAACTGAGGCACTCGTGGGACAAAAGGGAAACTTCTGAAAATGCCGTATGCATGTAGCAGGGAGGAGGCGTCTAAACTCACCTTTTTGTGACTTCTCAAATAACTTCAGAGTAGCATCATTTATTGTAATGAGGTGCAGGTCAGTGTAATTAATAGCACTTGAATCCCATCCATGTAAGTGCAGCCTTCCTTCACTGATAGGACCATTCTTATTAAGTTTGGTTTCCTCAAAAGAGTGAGCATGACAGGCTTACAAGATTACAGTGTATCATTCTGTGACTCTATTAGCTCATTGTTAATTTTTGTTTGCCAAAAAATAATTGTGAAAAGCTAGGATAACTCAATTTAAATAATGTAAAACTTAGTGTCAGACAAAAGCAATAATACATCTTTCCCATGAAGAAGAATTCGCCTTACGAGAAGGCATAATGCAAATAAGTGCCTGAGAAGGTAGAAGGGCTATGTCTGCTGTTTTCCTGAGCCACATCTCGCACGTGTCTCAGAACACAGCTCGTTTGTAATCAGCGCATTGTGATACTGAGGTTAGAGAAAGATTTTTCCAATACTGAGAAGATGTAGCAGCACCATTTAAAGTGGGTCTACCCATTTTTTTTTTGGTTGCACTGACAAGGATGAGCATGGTCACACAGTTTTCTGTAGGGGTTTGCTCACTGTGCAGACAGTGCCTTCCTGAGAGAACTCCGTAAACCTTGTCATTGCGTCTCTTCTGGCAGCGGTGGGAAATGGACTGAAACACTGTAGATGATGTCTTGAAAAATGTTTCAGATCAAGTCTTGCTCATTTTGCCTCTAAAACAGATGCTTCTCAATGTCAGTTAGTCCACTGCTGAAACAGATGCTGTGCATAAAAACGTACCAATTTGGTGGGTTTGTTTTAAAATTTAAAGCACAGTAGCCTTACCTTCATTAGGACTTTTCTTCTGGCTACACTTCATTCCATGTAATTTATTGAAGCCAGATTTTGACTATTCTATAATGAAGGAAATAAAGGGGAATTTTGAGTGGATTTAGAATACGGTTTTAGATAACTTTGTTACTCTAGCCTTCCAAATCGTTGCATGAGACTTACTCTGTTTATATAGTATGCCTTTGGTTGCACCTGTACTTGTTTTAAAATTTTTAAGTGATTTGTTTGTAATTTAACGTAATTGTAAGGATTGCACATGTAATTTGGGTACAGTAAAATGGTTTGAAGTTCATGATTATTTATATTAAACTGTGCCTTTTGTAATGCTATGGGGTTTTTTTTATCCAGTCCCATTTTACCAACTTCTTAAATCTTTTACTACTCATTCTTTCTTAGAATGAAATAAAATATTTGTAGAGCTGAGACATAAATATTGTAATGCTTGTATGTTATTTTTGCCATCTTAGGTCACTGATTTATCACCATCTTTATTTCAATACTGTTTTATGCTTTGCTTTCATATTGCTCTGAGATTGGATGTGTAGGGGGAAAAAAGAAGGCTTCATCTTTCCTATTCTCATTCATGATTGTATAATATCTGGCTTGCAGATGCTGCAAAGTAGCTTTCAAAACCAAACAATTAAAAAAACCAAACCAAAACAATAAACCACATAAAGCGAACTCTGAATGTTTCTGCTGCTTTTCCTAGGATGAAAACTACAAGGTAGAGGTTAACACTGATGTCAGAAATCTAATACTTTTTCCTAGATAACAGCTTTGTTTTCTAATTGATAACTTTATGAATATAGTTGTTATCTTAAGGAGTTTGGTTAGTCTTAAGGAAGTGAAAGACTTGTATATTTGCATTGTAATCCTTAATAAGTGACTGGAAACTGTTGATTTATAACATTTTTTTCTTTTCACTTCAGATAGGTGAAAGTGGAGATCCCAAAGCTTTTCTAATAGAAGTTTCTTGGCCAGAAACGTACCCGCAAACAGCACCAGTCATATCAATGGATGCTTTCTTCAACAACACAATGTAAGTATTTAGGACAGCTTCACTCCCTAGGTTTGTATGTGAGGGCTTTTTGGTTTACAAGCTCTTCTTCATCTGTCTAGATTATAGTTGAATTTTATGATTTCTTTTAGATCTTCAGCTATTAAACAGAGTATATTGGAGAAGTTGATGGTAGAAGTTGAAGCGAATCTTGGGACTGCTATGACATACACACTTTTTGAATATGCCAAAGATAATAAAGAGGTGTTCATGGAAAATCAGCCTGTTAACACTGTGGTAAGTAGATAAATTCAGATTTTAATCCCTTGCTTTTAAAACTGAACAGCAAGAAAGGTTATTACAACTCTGAATACTTCATAGCTCTGTCTTTAAGTTGTTAATCAGTATTTTGGGTATACACACATTAGCAGCAAGTGATACACAGAGAGCATGGTGCCACAATGCCCTGTGGTTGTAATTGTTATATCTAATTGTTATTTTGCTGTTATACCAAAATGTTTGTGGGCTGCAGTTCTGTCGTAGAGAGTAACATAAAAATGGAGACTTGGAGCAGAAGCAAAACGTGAGCTGAAACAGAGATTAAAGGCATCTGCTGGAGCAGGGGGTGTGCGTGTGGCAAATTACTGCAGCCTTCCTGGGATGCAATGGATTGCATAAGTGCTCCTCCAGGGTCTTGAATGAGTCAGGCTGGTCTATTTGTGGCTTCTCTGTTGTGTAAAGATATTATTGGCCATTGTGGTGCTGCAGATGTGCTTTGAGGAAAGAGGAGTGGTTTCCATGTTTGGGAAGTTGTGACTTCCTTCAGACTAAATCACATGCCATGTTTAAATTTAAAAAGTGTAAGAGGTGCCCTTCACAGCTCTGAAAGGGAGTAATTCCAGTCCCCAACATATGTTTTTTAAAACTTGTAGTGATTACATGTTGATTAAAAGCTGCAGGCTGCTGACAGCATTGCTTCCTTCTGACAGTCAAGATACTTCAGTGTGTGAGGTTCAGTTATCACACGCAGAGGTATCTGTGGTACCAATATGCAAAATATTAACAACCATTTTTATCCTTCTCAGACTTCAGTAAGCAATAGTATTGCAATTGGAACTCCTGATATGCCAGCAAGTAAGAAAAAAGATAAAAAGGAGCATTTATCCAAAACGCAGAAACGAAAACTAGCTGATAAAACAGGTTTGTTCACTATAATATTGTTTTGTTTGAGCAGTATGAGAATCCAAATTATATAGCCATAACATCTTGCTCTGTCAGAATTAGAATCAGTTGGTTTTTCTTTATAAGATTAACTACTTTAAGTCTGTGGTCTCTGTTTTACTTGTTTTAAATGAATCATTGTTGCATGAGATGTTAGATCTGGTCAAGCAACTTTCTATAGAGTAGGGATTTCACAATGTCAATGGCTTTGTTTTATCGTGGGGTTTTTTTAATTGCAATTTGTGACAAAAGTGAAATGTTCGAAAAAATACTTGTGGGAGGGGAGCATTTGGGACTTGTAAGAATTGACTTTCAACAAAAGATGTGGTTTGTTGATGGGCCCTCATAAATAGTTCATGTTATTAAAAACATAGTTTCTTAATGAAAATATTTGCTTTGGAACCCAAAATACCACATTTCATTTAGTTTGTATCCTCAAAATAGAGATGCTTCTGTGGATACTTTATGCTTTCAATGAAATCATAGGGGTTTTTTTGATTGAAAAGCATCCAATCTTTCAACTAATCTTGCTGATGACTATTATGTGTTCAACCTTAATTTTTAATAATAGTTCATACAATCCTATTGCAGCAATAGGTTGTACCCTTTGATAGCAATTTCTGCATGTAATTTTCCTAACCTAATGTATAAGTGGCAGGTTAAATGTTAACCCTATAAGGAAAAGCTTTGACAGAATGCATAATTGCTGGTCAGCCCAGCTCATGATGGAGCTGCCTTCTAAATTAAATGTCAGGTGGACTGAAGTTTTTTTCATTTAAACAGCATTACTTTGAAGAACAAGATGTGTTTAAGATATTAATATCATCTTTTTTTGTCCTCATGGCTTTGTAGTGGAGAAATAAAGCATTTTGGATCTTCAGAATTCCGTGTGTTGATTGTAAAGAAAGATAAAGATTGCCCTTAGCTCATGTGTTGAAATCAAACCTTCTTATTCTGCAGATAACAAAGGAGAGCTTCCACGAGGATGGAACTGGGTGGATGTGATCAAGGTAACGTGTGCAGCCTTATGAAAATACTGCATATGTACATTAAAAAATATTTGTACTTACAGCTGAAGAAAACTAATCTGATCTTTTTTCTTGTTTTTCTTCCTGTGTTTGAATTTGACTGTGCTGTCATTTCTATATGCGTCCAGCATGTAAGTATTTTCAAGTTATCTTTTTTTTAATGCTTAAAAGATTTGCAAGAAATAGTAAGGACTGTTGCTCATTTTGGATTATAATTTACTTATTTCTCAAGTGCTTTAAAATGCTTAGTCCTTTGAACATTAGCATCAGAATGACTTCGATTCCTCTTTTAACTTTGTTGGTTTAGTACTTGGTTTTATTTATTGAGCAATTAAATTTTAATTTTATGATGAGAAGGCTTTGCTAGCCAAGTGCGTTGCAACTATTCTGCCTTCATATGGCAACAAGATGTAAAACAAAGTTAGTGATGCTGACAGGTTCTGGAGGGCAATGGATAAGTAAGCAGAAAAAGGGAGCTGTCCCAAGTGGGAGCACCTTGCTGTCTCCTACAGGCCTGACCATTCTCTGGTGGAACTCTTCCAGTGAACAGTTCTTTTTTTGCTCCCTCAGCATTCATTTCTTCCACCCGCTTGTCTTTGCTGACTCTGTGGAAATCAGTATAGCTGCTTGACAATTTTGAAAGCAAACTGTTTTATTTTACACAACTATAAGTAATTCTCGGTGTAAGACCTAACACCGAGCAAGTCAATAATGATGGTGGTTTCGGGCAGAGTCCTTCTGGGTTAAAAGTGGCTATGTGTAGTGGATGTCTTGAATTCCAGGTGGACATCAAATTAGATGCACTACATTTAATTATAAACTTAGCTTTTAAAGGTGAGAAATAGTAAGTTAATTTCTGGTTTTGTATTGTGTAAATTTCTATATGGGAATTCTCTGAGAGATGTGTGAAGATACTTTTTCCATTACTTCATCTTCTTTATTGGAGGTGGTGGAGGAGTCTTCAAATTAAATACAAACATTACCCTGAGGTTTTTCTGGGGTTTTGTGGCTTTTTCTTTTTAAATCAACTTTCACATTTAGGAAATAAGCTCATTTAGTGTTTGAGCTTAAGAGATAATTTTTTATGCTTTTCAGTCTCTTGGTACAGTAGCACAATCATTCTGTATTATGAGTTAAATATACATGTGTTCTGTGTAAGATGGAGATAATGTTGTTCTTGTTTCCTAATAAATGGAATGGCAGTCTAAACTTTGAATACTTTCTTTTTGTGTCTCTTTTATAGTTAAGCAAAACTGGTTCTAAAGATGATGAATAAAGGACTTTGGTACAAGGAAACTCCACCTTTTAATACAGTGCAATTTTGGGTCACCATCTTTCTCTTTAATAACTTTCATATTTGTTGAAGTAAACATTTTATAAAGCTCGATTTCCTAACTTGCAGACCTAGTCACATAAGTTTATCTAGAGACTATGTAGTCTTTGGGAGAAAACAAAAACAACAAACTTGCCTTAAATGGAGGTTAGAATGTGACAAACATGTAGAGAGCAAATGTGGTGAAGTGAATACTCCTATATGCAGTGTTTATTAATTTATATTTTACTCTGTAGTAAAATCCTGTTATAGTGAACCCAATGATACTGTAAACATTTTCTGGTGTTCTTATTCCAATTGAAGAAAAAAGCACTATAACAGTGATTGGTCACTTGACAGCATAATTCATCAAAATAAATTATTCCGTGGAAACAAGACCTTTGTCATTTGTTTATCTCATATGAATGTGGAAGGAGAACATAAAAACTGTTACGTTGCGATACAGACTTCACTAGTTACTGGCTGAAATAGTAAATACTTAGCAAAAGCAAGGCCAAATATCCCGGTCTGTTCAAAAATGAGTGGTTATAGCAGGAGTATGTCTTCTTTATTCTCTGTGATAACCATCTGTTAGCCTTTCTCCCATGTGCATCTTTACAGAAGGTGGATATCTGAGGGGAGGCAAGAGAGCTTTCTTGCATGTGTCTTGGTGAGTGTTGGGATTTTGTAGCTCTTTCATTGGAGAAATGGGCGTTCCTTGGAGGCCCACACTGACTAAGTGGTGGGGCAGTGGAAGTCAGCACTGTGCCAGATGTGTTGGGAGAACTCTTTTCTTTTTTTCCTAATCTTCTCTCTTGTATTGGAAAGAGAAGTCATCTTTACTATATGAACGGTTACTGAATACAAGATGCCTTAATGTCCTTAATTATTTTTGTTTGTTTCTAGATGAACTTTAATAAATGCCTATTTATCTGCTGTGGTATGTGTTTATTTTTTTTTTAAACCTGTGTGTTACCTACTGATCTTCTAGGGCCAAGTTTGACTTTGCAAAGGATTTTCTATTACAAAGAAAGCATTCTTAAAACCTGGTGGAAAAATTCTGTCTTCCCTCTCCCTATATGTTTACACAGGTACAGGGTAGCTGTGTTTGTTATTGATACAAGGGTCAGTCATCCCACTGAGAGTCATAGGAGAATATCCATTACGTTCAGCACACAAAGCAAGTCCAGTGTCTCTTTCAAAGAGTGCACTCAACTGTGCATGTTAGGTACAGCATTTGGTGAGAGGGATTTTAGAGGTGCAGGCTGGTTGGTGTTGAGAGCTTGTGTAGCCGAGAAAGGGTAGCTTGCGTGGCTGTCATATTAGGGCTTCAAGTTGATGGAAGTGTTTATGCTACTCTCCGTGTCAAGAGAGCTTATATGCAACATACAGTAATATAGTTCTCTTAAATTGTCTTAAATTATTTGTTTTACCAAAGAAGGATAAGCTAAATATATTGCAGAATTACTGCTTCTCTTCATTATGTATATTTATAAAAAGAAAACAAAGTTACAGAAACATTGTGACTGCAGGTAAAGGAAAAACAACTGAATTTGTTCTGTGGTTTTCACTCTTCTGAAGAGAGACGTGAAGAAATGTGGTCTGTACTGCTGTCATCCAGCAAGAAGCTCTAGTTTTTGCTGAAGCACTTGAGATACAGTTGGTAAATATATGTGCTTCCCTAATAAGGAAAATACTAATAATCCTTAAAGAGTTCTTAATTCCAGGAAGCCGTGGTTTCTTTCTGAACTCAACTTGCATTTACTAAAAGCTGGTAAAGTACACGAGGGAGGACTTTATGCAAGTGACACAATCTTGCCTTTGACATAACCTAGAGACTCATGGCTGCAATCTGAGCAAGGTTGTCTGGCGAGGAGTAGCACTGTGGGGGAGAAATTGTTCTGGTAGTACTGTAACAGGGAAGGACATTTAGCTTTAGTCTCTGCCAGCATCAGAATGGGCAGGGCTTTCTCTATTCACAAGTTCTCCAAGGGGAATTGGCTTGTCTTTGCCAGCATCCTTGGTTTATAAATCAAGTTGCCATGACAATTAAACTGAATGGGTTAGTTAGGGAGCGTGGGCTAAGGACAAATAGCAATCACGTCTCTTACTTTTATAGTGTTACTGTGCATAGCGGCAAACTTAACCTTGTGAAATGCCTGATTTTTTTAGCTCCTAGTCTGCTTTTAAATCACACGTCCTTGTGAAGATACGCAAGCAACCTCCTCTGGTTCTGTTAGTAAACGTGTTTGTTTGCAAGTCTACTTTCAAGGAAAATATTTTTCATTGGAAATTTTTGTGTCAGTTCTTTGCTTCTGTTAAATTTTGAAAGGTAATTTCTGTAGTTAAACCATTTTCTTGTATAGCATGATGGTTGGAAGAACAGGGTCATTTCAAGAGTTCAGGTGCTTGATCTTATGGAGAGGCTGGAGCACTGACAATCAAGGGGCAAAATGATGTGGTTCCTATCAAGAAAAGCACAACTACAAAGAAGGATCATGACTACTAAGGGAATTCTAAACTATTAAAAAATGCACCACCCACCGCCACCTCTTTTTAGGAAAAGCCCAGTGGGAAATGGTGGTTTATGCTTTATTTCAGTAGGGCAAGAGTCTTTTCATTGTAGGGCTACACCATGCATTAAAACTCACGGGTTTCGCGGTAGCGCTTTGGGTGGCCTGAGAAGACAAGTGTCGATACTAGTAACAGTAAAGTAGCAAGTGTCCAAAATACAGGATGATTGAAAAGGAATTTGTTGTTAATGGAATCTTCCACGCTGCACGGACACGAATTGCCTTACTGATGAAAGAGCGTTTTAAAAAAATACTTTTCATCTGTGGTGTTGCTGCAGTAGCCAGTTGGAAATCTCATCCAATCAAGCACAGCTTGCTTTACCCCCTTTTTCAAACTTGCCTCTGAGCATCTGCCCTTGGGAGAAATCTGGTGCAGAAAATTGAGGTGGCAACACCAGTGCTTAAATGAAGTTTGGCTTTTTTCGGTTGAAATTTAACTTAAGATACTTTTTCTCTTCAGTCTTTTAGTACATATTTGAACTCGTTAATATTCCCAATGTGTCTGGAAGTTGGTTAATTTTAAGTAAGTTAAGTTATGCATTTTTATTTCCTCACTGGGCCATCACTTTGTGGTTTGTTTACTTGCTGTTAAGGAGATGGGGAGTCTCTTCTCTCTCTTCTTACCTCCCCTCCACCTTTCTTTTTCCCTCTGTCAGTCCTTATGGCGCCCTGGCACACATCACTAGGCACTACAGTTTCCAGCCTCAATTTACAGGAGCTATTAGTATAGGATATATGCAGGGTTTGCTGTAAGATTATTTGGTATCTCTGAAACACAGTGACCTCTTCCCAAAAATCTGTCCATCTCTTTCTGAAGAATACAGAAAGGGAAAAAAAAAAAAGTCAGGGTCACAAGAACTGTCACTATCACATTGGTATTTTATACTTTATTTCAGATGAAACTTCAAGTAAGCCTTTAGTTGTATTTGCATGATGTTAAATGCAATTCACTGCTGTTCGTACCAAGACCAAAGATGCCCTGTTGCACCGTAATGTATCAAATCCCAGGGAATGATGCAGACTGCCTTTAAGGAGGCTGGGTGGAAGGGTGACAGCAGTGATCGCTCGGCAGTGCGTGCCTAGCATGTCCTGCTCACCCCCTTGGTCAGCCTGGCACAGCTGGTGCTGAAATCAAGGCTGGTAATGTCTGCAGTACCACTGAAACTGGTTGTGCTTGGGGTGGATAGACAAAGCATGCACAACGGATGAGCAATGAGATGTTGGTGAGTAAAAGAACAGAAGGAAAAACCCAAACATTTCTCCATGTAGTATCTTTGGTAGAAGTGCAAATGCAGGGAAAGTATACTCCTTCCATCTGAGGCAATACAAGTGGGTTTGGGTTATACGGTGAGCTTCATGCTGTGAAAATCATTGAACTGGTCTGAAACAGAAATAGTTCCCCTTTGGAAACCGTTTCCTTCAACCATGTCTTGTGGCTTAGAGTATGGTGCCCTAAGCACATGTTCACAGTAGAATGAAGGGGGGAAGAAATGTTTATGCAATAGAGAAAACGCCAGAAGTGTGAGAATTCTGGGTGGATTGGAGAAGAGACGGAGGGGGCAAAACATCCTCGTATGCAAACCTTGAAGATCGCAGGGGTAAATGTTCATTGCTGCAGGACAAAACTGTAAACCAATAGTTGAGCTTGTGGTCGAAGAGCTATAAATTCTGGCATGAGGTTGGGTTATGGTAAAAGACAAGCGGATTGTAGATTTTCTTTCTGTCACTGTCACCTATTTCACTAGCATGGATTGGGCTTCATCCCACAATGGGGCTGTTCCATGGTTATGAGAAGAATTTCTGTTCATCTGACTTACACTTCCTCTTGCTCTCTTTCTAAGCCTATGGAAGTGACCTGTGAAAGTCTGGTGTACCCTCAGAAGTCCCATTGAGACAAAACATATTGACGAGGCACTGGAAAAATCATATTAGAATATTTGATGTGGGTGAAAGAAAGAATTAACTTTTTCTTTTCTCTCTCATTCATTCAGAGCAAAGTGAGAAGTGACTCCAAATGGCTGAATTTTGTCTGACTAATTTAAAGTTTTATATAGCTTTCCCTTGCTATTGTGTCTGAGCATTCATGCTTGTGGTTCCTGTGTGGTTTAAGTATTCATGTTTACAATACAGCAGAAATTTGACATCTCTTAACTGTGATTGCCTACTACAAGTTGCTTGTATTGTGGAATGGGATAAAGTCACAGCAATGAGAGAGAAAGCCAAACTAGAACTGTACAGCCTTAGTGGGGAGGAGAGGAGTTGAGCAGGTCTCTCTGAGGGCATAATTTCTTCTTCAGTGTCTTTATTACTGGCAGTGATCAGTGAAAGGGAAAAGTCAGTCTCAGATGAGTTTGGAAGATACCATTCAAGGAAAGATAATGTTTTCCTTCTTAAACAATTACAGTATCATTGAGAGGCAATAAACATAAGCATAGTCTTGTATGGAGTCACTCTTAGAGCAGGGTCGTACTTTAAATCAAGTAAATGTCTCTGTCAGTAGTATATTTTATGATTTCCTGCAGGAAAAACAAACATGAAGGAAGCATTACTGTCTAAAGAGCTGCTGTCTCCACCATAGGGAACCATTCAATCTCTACTTATAGATAGAACGATGGTTCAATTGACCTTGAAGAGAGACATTTTATAATAGTACAGGGAAATTGTAGCAGCCTGTTGACAAAAAGTACATGGCCTCTATAGATGGTTAACAGATTTGCACAGCTTTATCAGGTTTATATTTTTCTCTGAAGATCAGCACTAGACTATTACCAGGTTTTAGTTATCTAGCATACAGCATGATTATGATATTCCCAC